AATTTTGTTGTCAAACCTAAGTTTTGTGCATGCGCCATGCTAACATATAGTCCGCAAACCAATGCAAGCGAACGTGTAAATAGGTCCGTAATAGCAGGAATTAGGGCTTACCTCAAGAACGATCAATCGCACTGGGATAAGAATATTTCAGACATTGCTGAGGCCCTAAGAAGCGCACATCACCAAACAATAGAATGTTCGCCCTACTTTGCCCTGTTTGGTCAGCAGATGGTGACCCACGCGGATGAGTATGAATTGCTTAGAAAACTTTCATCATTGGATGACAACGTAATTGAGAGGGTCGACCGTCTTAAATTAATACGCCAATCGGTTACGGAAAGCTTCACCAAAACTTTCGAGAAGTCGTCAAAGAGATACAATCTACGCAGTACCAAATAAGCGTTTCCAGGCCGGTGGCATCGTGTTCAGACGAAACTTCTCACTAAGCGATGCTTCAAAGAAATTTTTCTCGAAATTCGCACCAAAATTTATCAAGGCCAGAGTCATATCCCTAAACCGAAACTGTATGTATGAGCTGGAGGATACAATAACGGGAAAAAGGGAGATATATCACATGAAAGACATCCAACATAGCAGCTACTAGAAGTACACCGCACCAACATTCTAGGTGGGGGGTGTATGTACCATGGGTACTTGACAGCAAATAATTTGGACTACTTAAAGTTATTAGCAAGTGAGAGATTAACTTAACTTCAATTTGCAAACTCTTAATTTTTGTTTTTTGTGTTTTTGTCTTCATGCGCATTACAGTTGCGGTCATAAAATTAATACCCCTTCGAGGAACACAAACAAATATTTTTTTGGTATTTTTCTGGAATTAAAATAATTTTTTTTCATATATTTACATATATGCATTTATAGTACATATGTGTGCATGTAAGCACTACGCACACAGCAAGGAAGGCCTTCTTCGCTTCGTGGGACTGCGTTGCCGACAAAAGAAAAATGTAAGTGAAGTTTACTCTTTCTTTTTATATTCAAGCAACTAATTTTTATAAGATAGTGAATATGCATATGTTTATATATACATATATATACAGGTGTATGTACGTGTGGGTTGGTTAAGCTTGTTCGGTTCTAACTTTTCTGGAGGATCTGTATGTGCATATGTATCAATACTAAAGGGTACATACTTACATACATATATGAGTTAGTTCTCCTTTTGATTTAAATTTTGTTGTAAATATAAATATTTATATGAACCTGCAAATAAACAGACATGCTTACACGCGTACACTTGTGAGTTTATTTTTATTTTTTTTGCCTTGTATTTTCTTTTACTTTTTAATTTTTTTTTTGTACCATATATGCGCACTCTTAAGCATACAAAACCACATACGCGTTTACAAATATAAGGTAAAGTTTTTTTTTAGTAAGAAACGATCCAACAAATGCGCTACAGAGGAAGAACAACACCTTGGTTGACGAATTGTACAAAAGCAAAATTATTGACTACAGAGGTAAACAACAACTCGTATGCACAGCAGCGATTGCACCACGACTTTACGGATTACCAAAGATCCACAAACCTGACTTGCCCTTAAGGCCAATTTGTTCGTCCATCAATGTTCCGTGTTATGGTTTGTCCAAATATGTAGGTAAGATTCTCAGTAATCTCATCTCTGAGGAATACAATATAAAAAATGCGTTCAGATTAAAAGATAAACTGGATAAAGTAAAAGTAAAGGAAGAATTGCTGGTGTCTTTTGATGTGGTATCGTTGTTTACCAACATTCTGATACCCTTAGCCATTAATATCATAATGTCAAAATGGAGCAAAATAAAACAGTCGACGAACATCCCCAAAAACAAACTTCTAAATATCCTTAATTTCTGCCTGAAGGATAACAATTATTTCGCGTGCAACGAAAAATTCTACATTCAAACCTTTGGAATGCCAATGGGAAACCCTCTCTCACCCACTATTGCTGACATTATAATGGACGATTTACTGAACGCAACTATGATAGAACTTAAAGAAATCTATAAAATTGATATACAATTTATAGTAAAATATGTGGATGACATTTTTGCCATAGTTAAACGAAAGGATGTGGACATTATATTGAAAACACTCAACAAATATCATCGAAAATTGCAGTTCACAATAGAAACAGAGGCTAATTTCCGGATCCCATTTTTAGACGTTATGATCCATAGAAGAAATGACTCTTTAATACTTGACTGGTATTCGAAACCTACATCCTCGGGACGTTTAATTAATTATTTGTCGTCACAACCCTCTAAGTACAAAATTAATACTGCTAAGAACTTAATTAATAAGATACTAAAAATAAGCCATCAACAATTTCATGACACAAATATAAAGAAAATATTCAACATACTTAGAAGTAACAACTACCCGGAGCACATAATTCATAGCCTAGTTAAACAAATAACAACACAAATTAATGACAAACGCAATAACCCTACGATCACAACAACTAATAATAAGACAAAACGCTACTACAGTGTAACATACCTACCTAGAATCAGCGAAAAATTTGATCGCAAGAAATACACTAACAACCAAAATACAATACTAGCATACCGATCAAATCACACGTTGTCTTCAGTATTTACCAAAACAAAAACTCCAATAGAGCCGCACCAACAAAATATCGTAGTGTACGAAATAACATGCGAAGGATGTGAAAACGAAAAGTGTAATAAAATTTACATTGGAACGACAAAAATGCCGCTTGCAGTTCGCTTATCGGAGCATGAAGCGGACATCAAGAAGAACAAGAGCAACACGGCACTATCACAACACATATCACCAGCAAGCGGACACACAGCTGATCTAACAAGAGGGACAAGACAATGAACAAAAAGGAAGACACGGATGACATCGCGACTGCTTATTTATTATGTGTATAGCTAAAATCAACAGTATGACAAGTGTACCACACGACGTTGGTATCGATGCGGACCAATTAGTTTAAGTTTTTATGTTATTTATTTGTTTATATATGTACGTGAATTTTAAAACTCGTGTTCATATGTAAGTGCAAAATTTTAAAAATCCTTTAAAAATCTGTGATTGTTTTTTATTATTGTTTGTAGAACTGTTCACACATTTTTTATGTCATTACTAATTTTAAATTGTATGTCTATTTATATGTATGATGATGTGAAAATAAAAGGAGAATAAAACACCCCTGAAGATGCTAAGGATTTTAGCGAAACGTCGGGTAAAAACGTGAAGAACAGTGTTTTCTTGCACATAAAAGGGATCAATAAGCCTATGAAATACCTAAAATAAAGTTTTTTTTTGTTTTGTTCGATTTGCGAACTCTTTATTCCGATTGATCATTTTAAGCGAAGTTGAATATTTTCTTTTTGCAAGTTTAGACCACTAAATTCTCATTTTTATATAAGAATCAAAGAGAGCAACTAGGGT